CAAAAAGTACGAAAAATTTTCAACGGGTTCCTCCCCTCCTTTTCGTCCTCTAAACGTTTTCATTCGTAGTGAAGTTACAAAGAGCCTTTAAAACTTGTCCGTTTTTACACTTTAGTGGAAGATACTTCGATACCCATGCTAATACCGGAATAAGAATATTATGCAGAAAAAGAACTGGGGGTTGGATGAATATCCGTGTTAATGTTAGTAGTAATTTAGTAGAACCTATAACTTTCTATAAATGAAAATCGCAACGAGTTCTAATTGCGTTCTATTTTTTATTTATCCGCAATTTATTACTTTTAGCACACGAACGGCGCAGTGTAAAACAGTAAGTCAAATGATTCGGGGGTGGTCACAAACATGCTGAGAGTAAATACCTCGTAAAAAATTGAAATTTAACTCGGCATTCTTTGAAACTACAACAGGATGCTGAATTCACTGATTTCTAAATGAAATTTTACGAGGCTTCTTATCGTAGTTCGCAAAAGAAAGGATTATGTTCAACTAAACTTAGCATTTTTATTTGAAAAATATTTTTACAGTGTGCCTATAATAGGATACATTGTAATAAAGGTGTATTGACACTTTGTAATTCATAGACGGTTGACAGTGCTGATCAGAGTGAGTCCAATCCTGTGAAGTCACTTGCATTAGTGCCTGGAAAGGAAAACGTATGGGTGACTTACGCTATAAAATAGCACTTAAATTGAAAAAGCTATCAAAGGTTTCCGTTTGTAGCCCCTTTCACCCTTAACCATCAGAGGGTCGATGAGTTCGTAAATGTATAATGTGATCCTCTCTAGTGGATTGGTGTAAATATTAATGTATGCCCTGACAAACTGGAACCTAAGTACAAGTTTAGACATTGAGCTTTTGTACGCCACACCCATTTAATGTTTTTTGATATACATTATACTTCCACTTTTTTACTGCAGTAGAAAGGAATCATTTGCTCAGAAATGCATTGATTTGCTTCTAAAAATTGTGCAGGGCACAAACAATACAAGTGATTTGTTTTTTGTCTTACCTAACATCGAGTATGAGTGTATCAGCTACGAAGCGTTGTGGCGGCTGATTCTAGTGAACCATGCCAATGCATCACACTGTCAAGATCTGTTAATTCTTCAACCTACAAGTTTCGACTGTTTCCTACCGAGGCGAAAAAATATATACCATAAAAAGAAGAATTATTCCTTAGCCATGCAAAGAATGTAAATATATGAGATAATTTAAGCCAAGCAAGTAAATAACATGCATGGCCCTTCGACATTTCGGGACACCACCACTGGTTTCCCGCGAAATGACGTCTGAGAAACGATTGCAGAAATTCCATATTAATGACAGATCTGGGTAGTGCTTCTGATTGGCTGAAGAAAACTTCCCTCGCGGTTCGACCAATCAGAATCACTACCCAATTTCTCAGATGTCATCTCGCGGGGGGAAACCAGTGGTGGCGTTGCGAAATGTCCGCTGTTTTCCCAGGCTAACATGTCCCCGCGTTCACCCTTCTGCATTTCCAGTGACTAATGCAGAATCAAGATCCTTCTAGCGAAACGCCATCTGTACTCTTTGCAAACCACACCTTGTTATGCATCCACTCTTTATGGTAGATAGCTGAGAAATCTGTTTCTGGACTGGCACACTTCAATCAAAACCCCTATTCGCCTGCCTTTCACTTACATGTATAGAGGTCATCCCCACAATCTGAGAGCCTAGAACAGGCTATCTTAGAAGAAGGGTTACGTGTGTCTTATAAAACAATATTCGCTATAATAAGCCAGTTGTGTAGGGCTGCTCGTAAGGTCTCTCCTGATTGGTCGCAGAAAACAATGACATGTCATTCTTTCAATTGTTTCCGTATTGTTTGGGGTCAGGGTTAGGCACCATTGGTGACTTCTCGTCCGACCAGCTGCTACATGACCCTAATAAGCGGACAGGGAAGGGAAAAAATTAGTAAGTATTAATCTTATCTCTTTTCTTGTGTCTCAAAACTGGACTGAACCGTAGACGAAAGGATGTGGATCAGAAGAGAATTTTGAATCCTGAGTTTGAACAGCTTTTTTGACGCGTGCTGCCACGCCTGTCAATTATCTAGTTTTTATCAATATGTACAACAACTATGCTCCGATTCTCAAGTTCACTGTACATCGCCCTACAAACAATGAAAAAGGAAATAGATTAGTGTTAGGAAATATGTATATCTTAAATATGACGACAAACTAAATATGTTTCAATTGTGTACTACAAAGCGATGAAACAACCGATCCAACCATTTCAAATACAAGAATATCTCTTTAAGCCCAAAGTACCAATGTTGATCTGATCTGTGAATTCAAGCCTCTTCCTGTTAGACATTTCTCTCTTAATCGGTATACAGCTATTTCGAGAAAGGTTGTCGGAAAAACAGTGCACGCGACAATCCCGAAAGGTAATATGGGATATAGTCAATACACTTGTTCTTGACACTGTAGCTTTCGAACCTACTTTTGTTGCTTTCCTTTAGCGCTCGCAAACATACGTCCATGGAATTTCTTGCCATTCTTTGAAATTTCTTTGAAAAACAGTGAACTAACAACCACCCACAATACCTTTCGAGATTGTCGCGTGCACTTTTTTCGACAACCTTTCTCGAAACAGCTGTATACTAATGTATAGCAGACGAGGTATTAGTTTGCCTATACCAATCCTTCTTTTAGTCTAGGAAACAACCAATTCATTTAAGCTTTAATATAGAGTAACCAGAAGAGACAATTTCCATTCACACTATGCCAATGTAAGTGTAGATTAGATAAAAAATGAACAATTTTAAAAACATTTAACAAGGACCACGATTAAGAAATATTGAATGCTACTCAACTATGTCAGATTTGAGTTTCCTTAATTTGATAACTCCAATCTAACACATTTTTGTGGTATGGAGACTTGAATCTAAATCAGGGTCACACTGATTTGAGTTTCCTTAATTTGAAAACTCCAATCGAAGCCGTTTTTGGGGTGTGGAGACTTGAATCAAAGATTTTTTGTGCATTAAAAAGCTTAAATGCAAGATGGTCCACCATATGATCTTGAAATAAGTCTTTACCACTTGATAAATAGACTTAATAAACAAGATTTCACTTTATTAAGCTTAAATCTACATTGAGCTTTCGAACTGGATAAAAAAATGGAGGTGAAATCAAACTTACACTGTAGTTAAAAATCACTACTCCGGAATCTGACAAGCGGAAACTTGTATTCAAAGCCTTTTACGTCACAAGTATAGGTTCAATACAAATTTCCTCAAAGTTCGCAGTAATTGTAAATGCATGGTTTTCAGTACTTTTTCTACCTTCTGATTGCAAAGTCTTAAAAACCAGCTATCTAATAAGGCTTAATTCCAAGCTTCTGAAGTTTGAAATTCTAGCCCTGTGTTTTAGAGACTGACGGAAATCGATACTTTTACAAAGATCGTAACAGTATGAGTTCAATCTGCTTGAACTGAGAAATCATGTTTGTCCAAGATGGATTATCGGGAGCAACATGAAATCGCAGTTGACAGTATGGACATAAATAAACCGTGATCTCTATCAAAATAGAAATCACATCACTTCTGGTGCCCGGCACATATTACGTTATACTAAACACGAGCAACTAGAAGCCCCGAAAATATAACACCAGAGAAGCCTATTTCGAACGTTAACTGTTATCTGACTGATTCCATAAACAGACAAAAAAAAGTATACTGTTCAAACCTCCATGTGCGACCACCTCTCGTAAGTGACCAACCACCTATATGTATCAAAAGCACTGAAACGTTCCCAGGCAAAGCCTGTAATTAGAACCTCTTGTAAACGACCACCTCCCTTCATTTAGCGACCGCGACAGCGACAGCTTTTTGGTATCCTGGACTCCAGAGGTTATTTTTTTCTTATCTAATTCCCGATAGTTCGCGTCGCGGGAGCTTTATCAAACCGTGAGCACTGTTTATTTCATCCTTGGTATTTCGAGAACAGACCTCTGAGCCGGGGTAGCTTTTTGGGGCTGACGGTTTTATAATTTTCCATTGTTTTTAACCTTCTCTAAGGTCATAATGGGATCTGTTTCTTCGTTTCTCAGTGCATACGAAAACATTTGAGTCACAGCATAGAATAACGTACACGTATCGTAATTATACTCCAAAAATAGAGTTGTTCAGAACACTTTTACGAGGAGGTTACCTGTGGTTTGATTCTGGTAAGCAACCACTAGATCTTTAGCCTGTGCATTTTAAATGGTCGCTTACGGGAGGTTCGGCTGTTTTTCCATAGCGTTTAACTAAAGTTGGAAAGATGCCCAGCCTCCTGAAAAAACTTACGTGTGGGTGTTGTTTCTGCGTCTGTGGCGCTAGGTGCCCCTGCTAGGAGAAAACAAAAGTATTAGTTTTTAAGCGAACTCTAAACTGGAGTAGAATCAGAAACTTACCACTGTCCTACTTTAATCTTCATAGGATACTTACTTGCAGGTGTTACTTTTGTGGTGGTTGTGTGTGCTAACTCTGATGAACAAATAATTAATATACAAACAAAAACAAAGAAATTAGTTTCTCTCCAGAAACGTGGGATTAACATGTTCCGTACATGTTCTGTACGGAACCACTAATTACAACAACATTTATTGGCCAACCGATAGTGATCGCATGTCCTCAGCAAACTTGAAACAATCACTAAATTGTTGCCTGCGCGGGACAAACTATATATTAATTTTTTGTGGGATGAAGATATTACTTTACATTATGTTTTTTTTAGCAGTTTTCGTCAACGCTCCAGCCAAGAGCGTATATTCTATGTTTGGCAAAATTATAAAGTGCAAAATAGGAAACACTGAAAAAAACTGGTAAGCTCCAGATAAGCAGATTTCAGAAACAGGTGGAACAGCTGCCGTTTATTTTCACCATTTGAAGGCAAGCAGTTTGTTCTTTCATCGATGAATGCCTAATGCATTATCCGCAGAACGAAAAGGAAATTAAAACTAGAAAAAAAAAAACAGAAAGAAGGAAAAAGTGTACCTGGCGTCGTTGATGTCGATGATACATATGCGTTGCCACAGTAACGTGAGTTATATTTAGTCAACGGCTTTAGTTGGTAAACGTAGAAGCCTCCACAGTTACGCACTCTGATGTAAGTCCAAAAAGAACAACAGTCGCTGTAATACCTGAAACACACTCTTCTTTGAACAGCCCCCTCGTTTACTGTAGGGTGACTTCCATTGAGCCAACCAGGGTAAAATGTGCCACAATGATCCATATCAACACAAGACTCTGCCATTTGATTTCCAGCTGCTCCACTAAATCTGTACCAGTCGGTCGAGAGCATACTATGACGTTGAAAATAAGATTCATTGTATGTTTTCGATCTGCTGGTCTCGTTAAGGACTTTGTAATTGTAACATTCTATGAAAGAAAGGAAAACTCCGTGTACTAGTACAATCTGTCAAATTCTTGTCTACTTGTTCAGCGTTAGTTACTACTTTATGAGCCATAGTTGCTTATATATTATTTTCTCAAAAACTGCTTAGTGTTTAATTCTTATTTTGCTAGAAAATGCAATTTCATAGGAAAACAAGGCATGAATTTTTGAAAATTCATGGGAAAATGCATGAAAATACGCCTGCCAAACATTGCAATAAAACGATTGTTGTTTTATTTTTTGTTAATACCTTGTGCATATGGCAATCCGTTTCCACAGTACCGCAGATTGCAATGGGATTGTCCTTCAAGTTTGTAAGCGTAAAATGCTCCACAATGTTGTACAGTTATTTCATTTGAATGATGGCAACAGTTGTCAAAAGAGCTAAAACAGACTTGGCGTTTAACGGCCCCATCATTTAAGTCGGGATGAGTTCCGTTCAGCCATCCAGGTGACTCGGTCCCGCAATGATACATGTTGACACAAGAGTCAGCCATTTGCATTCCAGCCTCTCCAGTGAATCTGTACCATCCATTAAGTTTTGCATTGCATAGGTAAGAAATACTTCTGTTATATGTCAATGCTCTGTTGGACTCGTTAAGGTTTGTGTAGTTGGAACATCCTAAGGGAGGATTAAAATTATGGGAGTGAAATTATCTTACCCTATTTTCACTACTGTTCAATGATATGGCACTTTTGTAATTCAGAAGATTCTGTCAAACTGGACACCTTAAATAGACGTATTTTAAGATTTGTTTTAAAGGACTGGGATTCGAACTATGATGCTCTTCTAGACAAGGCTGGTGTGTGTGGTTTAGCCAACAGGAGGATACAAAATATGTTGATTTGTATATTCAAATGTCTCCATTCTGGTAAATATCCGTGCTATTTAAAACAACTGATCAAGTTAAGATCTACTGCTTACTCCCTACGGGGTACTAATATTTTATCACTTCCTAAGCCGTCTACAACCACATATGGTCTAAATTCCTTTAGCTATTCATCTGTTAAGTACTGGAATTCTCTACCTGATCACTTTAGAAAGACTGTAGATTATAGTGAATTTAAGCACAAATTGTTAGTGCACGGTTTTAGTTAATACTACATTAATTAATATCATATTATATATGTTGTAACTTTTAAAATTAGTTAGGATCGGAGATACTAGCTATGTAAGCTACACTAAAATCCGAGGATAAATAAAGTTTATGTATGTATGTATGTATGCAATGATGTATCCTGTGTAATAGGCATTCCATAGAATATTGGAGAGAGGAGATTTGAAGGAACGAGGCACTTTCTTCCCTTCGCTTCTCTTCCCCCTTCTCCTCCAGAAACGCCTGATATTCAGATGTTTAGGCGACCATGTGCGGTCTAAGTTTACTTGTCACCAACCAAAACCTAACATAGCACAGAGAAAATGGGGTGTTTGCCCCATCCAAGTGATAAGCAAATTGCCCAAATGTTAAAACCAAACAAACGAACAAGAGTAAAAACAAAAAACACATCTTGTCGGTATCTGAAGTCTATAAGTTACAGATATATCCCTAGCTTTGCGTTAAGGTTTTGTCATTTTCAGTTCCACAACAGTAAATATAAACAATATTTTACTTACCTAACACACTGAAGTTTACTTGAGTATATGATATTTTGAATCGTATGCTATAGTCGGAGACAAATAGTACTACTTTAATTCTCTCTTTAAACCAATCATACGTTTCGTTGGCCATTGAAAACTCACATATACGCCATTTGGGACCATCATAAACTAAAAGAGATCCACCTTGAATTTCCACATATCCACACGCGCAAGACCAAGCTCCTCCACTGCACCCCCAAAACATGTCTTCAATAGACAATAAAATTCGTTTTCCTTTTCTTGGCCTGATTTCCCAGCTACAGCTTTGGTTATAGTAATTATGTCCTGATCTGGGGTAGAAAGGACTGGTGATGACTCCTGAAATCTCATTCAAGGTTGTCATATTTGGACAGACTGTAAAGAAAATTACACGTATCTCTTAGACTGATATTTTCAAAAATATTCCGAACATTTTATTTTATTTTATTTTTTTTGCATTTTAACACCTTGATCTTGGTAAAGCAGATCTTCCCCTTCCCCTCTCATCCATTAAAATTTTCAAGAGTATTTCTCTACTGTCGTCTCAATATCCCCGAATCCATCTGAAAACGGCTTAGTGATCAGCTTTAATGAAATACTAAGATAGATATAATAGTCATTCTTGACTCATACGGGGGCTTAAATACAAAACACTTTGCTTCTTGCCATCGATTACGAATACTACCACAACACTTTTTCCAGCACGACTTAATGTTATCCCGTATTTCTTGGTAAAGCCACGGTATTTTCTGTAATTTTTTCTTTCTTTGTTGACTCTGAGCTTTGAAATTCAAATGGACTAAAAAGACTTCTTTGGCTGACAAGATTGTCATCTCCAGATAACAACAGATGATTCTCGAGCATCAGACTTTCGTTTGCAAATTCAAATTTACCTGAATACAATAATCTTGTTCGGTTTTACCCAGTCGTGTTCCCTTTGGCATTTCGTTTTTCCTTTTTTCGTTCTTCTACATTTTCAAAAGTCAACTCTCTCTAAGACGGACACCTTTGGGATCGGCAGTAAGTGTCCGTCTTAGAGAGATGTCCGTCTTATAGAGAGTCAAATAAAGGGAGTAAAGAAAGGCAGGGACCAACTCTAGGTGTCCGTTTTAGGGAGGTGTCCGTCTTACAGAGGTGTCCGTTAAGAGAGAGTCGACTGTAATACGTCACTATTTTTTTAGTCAATTTTTTGATATCCTGGTAAGTACCGAAATTTTCTGATAGTGTGAGATCGATCTAGCTCCATAGAATGTAATTAATTTTGTTTGTTTGTTTATGGCTGTTGTTTCCCTCAAAGCAAGGTAATCCGGATACCCGAATCGGGGGAATAAGTTGCTCGTGGAATGCGGAATCCTGGGATTTGTAATCTGTGATTCTACACGAAGAATCTGGAATCCTTCTTATGATTGGAATCAGCAATCTAAATGCCACTGACATCCGGAATTAAGTACTTGGAATTCAGAATCCAAGACTTTCTTGGATTACCTTGTTGCGAGTTGTTGTTGGTCATGTTTGTTTAATCTTAACTAATCATTGATATCTTATAAAAAATGTATACCACGTACTTGAAATATACGTTATAGCCGTGTAAGTTGCATTAAACCCTGAATACTGATTGCTTAGAGACGTGAATATGACTTGAACGGAATTCCCCACCGAGTACACTGGATGAGGAAGAGACTGACCGCACAGCATGAAAGGTTGATACCCATCATCTGAAGCAACATTTGTGACTGTAACACGGGCTCCTGGACCATTAAAATAGCAGGGAATGCGCTGATGTGGCTCCAATTCAAAGTAGAGGAAGCTGTGTTTAATGATGTACCCGATGGGAACTGTGATATTCCAGGTACATCTGCTGTATTGAGGGACGTTACGTGGGAAATTTGGAGTTGAAAAGAATCCACTAAATCCATTAAGATATTCGCTGGAGGTACAAGCTGCAACAAGAGGAAACAAACTGTGATTTAGCTTTATAGTACAAAATTAAAGAGTAATCTGGCTGTTAACCAAAACCAAAACCAAAAAACAACAAACAAACAAAATCAATTGAAAGCATTGCTTTAGATAAACATTAAAAAAATAAGAGATTTTGCTACCAAACACTTTTATAAACATCATAGCAAAGAAAATTGTTGGCATTTCATGGACATTTTAGTTTGTGTTGTGTTACTCTGTAAAGTATTTGAATGCAACGGTTGCCATGACCTGATATAAGGCAATGATATTTTATATTCCTTCCTTGAAACTTGACAACCTGGTCGCCCTCAATTGCACCTTCATCTTAAATTGTGAAGGTGTTCAGCACATGTGTTAATGCGTTTAAAGCCGATTTCTAATAACTTACCGGTGGTTGTTGCATTATATTTCACTTTAATGTAAGTTGCCTTAAATCCACGGTAGTGCGGGTAAGTACCACTATCAGAAACAAACGTCACCCTCAGGACATCTTTTACCGAATGGTATACTATCCCACGGTCTTTATATTTTCCACATCTTCGCCTGTCTGAAATGCCATCAGAGGATGAGCCATTTTGTATTTCCAGGTAGTTACACGTGCAAGATGAACCACAGTCCTTAATATATACGTCTTTAATGACCAACACAATGCGTTCTCCTTTACTTGCTGGAATTTTCCAGCTGCATTTCTCATTAGAAGGCCGATAACGCCGTGGATAATAAGGACTGGTAAGGACTCCTGATGGCTCATTCAGGGTTGCCATATTGGGACAGACTGCAAGCAAAATAAATGAAACAAGTATTGAGGGCAATCACGTAGAATTATTCAAGTTCAAGAAAGAAACTACCTAACGTGAAAAGGATTAAGAACAAAACCAAAGGTTGGACGGAAGGACTATAATGATTTTGGGATGCGCCTGAAGCTCTTCCTTTATCTGGAAAATCTTAGGGCTGGCCATTAATCGAGATTAAAATTTCAACAAGTCAACTAAGAATTGACTTCTTTCTTGCGATGTTTTCAAAAATTGTCCGTTCGGTGACTTTAAAGAAAATTTTGGCCTTAGACGCCTGCGCTTACTCTGGCTAAAGAAAGGCCTTGTCAGGACGGTGAAAAAAGTTCAGGTTGTCTCTTTTTCGTTGTGAAAGCCCATGTGAACAACAGCTACTTTAGAAAAATAATCTGCAATAGTTAAAGCGGTTTTTAAAGAGCCAGTAAAACGGTTTGCTTTAGCTCAAAAAAATAATGATCCATGTAGAATCCATGATCCATGATCCGTGGAGGAAGACTTCAAGCAAAGGACGTAAGATACTCTTGAACATCACTGATTTCTGCAAGGAAAGTCTCCCTCAAATTAAGAAAAATGCAAGGAACTGCAGTTTTTCTTTAGCCAAGACAGTTTAAAGATAAAAAGCTTTATTTGTTGCAAAAACTGAATTATTCTGGACGCAGATTGGGTAGTATTTTCTACTCCGCCTGGTTATGATACTGTTATAATAATGTTTGTTGTATCACAATGAGATTTTTAAAATAACGTACCTAATGTTGGCGAAACCATTGTTGAAGATGCAAGCAACATGGAAGACGGTGATAGTGTTTAAGTTGTCCTTTTATCTACTGCCAGAGTAGTGCTCACTACGACAGATGACAAATAGCCTCGTTGTAAGCTGCTTGGAGAAAAAGCTAACGATGACAACAGCAAGGAAGACACTGAGGGCAATACGGATGTACCTTGCTCCAAAGCCCAGCTCGAACTCATTGCGACAGGTGAAGATTCGCTTCTGGGTGGACGGCTTGAACGAACAACTGATTTTGACACAACAGCCAATGATGACACCAGCTTAGGCGAAACGGACAGCAATGCGGGTGTGCTTAGTCCTTTTGCCATACCAGAGCTCAGTGTCACAAACGACGAACTACTTATGGCCAAGGTACTTGAAAGAGAAAATTTTGAGGATGACGTGGAAACAGAAGACAGTGAAGGTACTGCGGCTGTATTTTGGCTTGCCACATTCGAATTCCCTGCAACATCGAGGACACTACCCGCCTTAGCGCTTGAATGGTCTGAAGATAACACTGCAGCAGATTTCATCAACACCCAGGTGCATGTAGCTGTTATCAAAGACAATAACCATAATTTCTGAATTTCTGATACTGTTTGCATTAAAAAAACAGTGAAAATTATTATTTAAAAGGTGTTTGTCACGCTATTTGCTATCTTTTAAATGCTAATGCCTGAACTCGCATCAATAGAATGGTCTAGCTTTGTTATTTTATACACTATGTTTAAGCACTGAAACCGTTTCCTTTCGTCTGTTACAAAGGACGGCAAGAATGACCCCAAGGATGAACACGAATTGAGACTTTTTGAAGTTTTTTCTTTAACGCTATGCCTGCAAAAAATCACCCAAAAAATTGTGATGGGTCATGCTGCCTGATGAGATTTGCTTGATATCTTAGTTAAATCTTTAACGGAGAATATTTGTGACTTGGGCACAGAAATGACCAAAAACAGCAACATCCTTGTGACATAGCGAGTCTTTTAGTACAAGTGATAAACCAGTTCATTCAGTAATGAGAAAAAGAAACAAGCAAACAAAAAAAAACGACTTTGAGTATTTCACCTACGCTACATCAATTGCAATTGTTCATAACTTACTTAAGAGTGGGAACAAACCACGAAAACATCGCATTCCCATACCTGAGTAGAGAAGACAAGAGACTAATTAAAACTTTAAAACTTTTTTTATGATATAGTTCCAGTACTAATGCTGTCTTTGAATTATAAATTGTTGTCACCATAATTTTATAGTGGACATCCCAATGGACATCCATGTTATGGTCAATTGACAGCTGTCAAAAAGAGCATCCACCCACTAGTGGCACCTTACTGTATTGCGGACTCAAGTGTACAACTCGTTGAGGTGACGTGTTTTTTTTAAAGTTATCCGCTAGCCAGTTGTTGGTTTTAATTGATCGCAGGCTCAGGTCCATAATGAAATGCTATGTAATAAATAACTTATTAACCTGGTCCTTCGCTATCGCAAGGTCGATACATCTGACTCGGTCTGAGATTTCCCTGTAATGACCTCACTCTGGGTTAACAAGTAGCATTTATTGTACCCCTCAGCCTTGGAACTAATTATGAATTTTAGTAATTCGGAACTGGCCTATACGGAGTGTTAACAAGGTAATCGTTGATGTTTTAAAGATGCAAACACAGTAAAAACCGCATTATAAGAATCTAGTGATTTAAGAACCTACAGGCTGAAATTTGGCATTTAAATACCCCAAAATATAAGAACCTATGAAGCCTGGCAAAGAAAAATAGGTTCTTACACAAAACAATTACTCCAAGTTTGATGGTCATGATTGTCGATTTTAATTGTGAGAAACGTTTGACAAAAGGTTATTGTGTATGTGTTTTCTTTGATGTACATTTGTTTGGATTTTCACTAGAAGTATGTTTTCCATAAAGCTACCGTACAATATAGACGATTTAAAATCTTAATATCTCATTTAAAAAATATAGAAAAGTATTGATATTGTTCTCGCACCTTGAATGTTTGCCATTATGTATTAGTAGTACAATATTTCTGCCAATGGTTACACTATGACAACCTCTGAAAAATAAGAACTTTTTAAGAAAGGTATACTTTTTTTCAGGCTTCAGGTATAGGATGTGGTAGGGATTTCATTGGTTGAAGTGCATGAAAAGGTAGCAAAATAAGAAATTTGTGAATCGGTCTGTGAAAGGACCAAAAAGGGCTCACAAACGCATTTTATGGATGTGAAATTAAGGGAGGAGAAAACTTCCTGGTTTAGTGATTTATTCATATTAAAAAGACGGCGAATTTAGAGCAGTTAAAGGGGAAGTAATGTTTTCGACTTGGTATGTGAAAGAGGAGCCATTTGTCAGTAGAAGGATTACACAATAGATACATTTTCTGTCAAAAAATAATGGTCAGTTTATAAAAAGGGTAAGTGGCTGGACCTCGGAGTGGAACTTCCCCGTATGAAATTTCCTTGAGTACCCCTTCCCTCCCCCGCCCGGGTTACTCCAATGCGAACATTACATGGTTGGAAGTTGTCGCGCAGCAATTCACTACGCATGTGAAGGAAGAAATATGTGCGAAATAAGTAGGCGCTACATAAATGTCGCTATGATTACATACTACTACGCATTCGTTGGAGCTCTACAAGCGTTGTTTTGTAAATACATGCCTTTTTAACTTTATTTAGTTTAATGCTTGTAAGAAAACATGTATTTTTGTGTTGCATGGTAAACTTGCACGTGTGCATGCGATTGTTTACTTTAATCTATCAATAAAGATCTTCCAGAATGTCCGCTCGGCCTAAGAAATGCTAACTCATTCCAAGGACCCAGATTTTGATACGTTTTCATACATATTTTGAATGATAAAGTGACTGTTTGCACTCACTGAAACACCAAGAAACTAATAAATTGGATCGTGGTGTGCCCAACTGTTGGCTATTTAAATTAATGACATAAACTCAATATGGGACCTTCGCAGTCATATAGTTGGAAGTCTTGGAACTAGTGTTGTTTACCATACGCTCATCGTTGGTATCAAGTTTAATCATTCTATTACCAAATAGAAAGCAACTCCAGCCCTAAAAGTTTTAGAGATTTTAAACTGTTAAAGATTTTGAACTATTTCTGATCTAAGCTATTGATTGTTCACATTGAAGGCGTAAATACGAAAGAGGGAGCTCACTTCTTGTTTGCGCTTAGTGGCTTCGCATTTGTTGAAATTTAACGTGACGCTGGAGTGCTTCCCTCCACTGTGAAAGCGTAAGTTATGCACATTGACTTACGTTTGAGTTAAAGATATCTTCTCTTACCTACAAATCGTACAACTCTTGTTAAGCCTCGATATAGTTTTCGGCCTGAGAAGCTGCGCGTAAGCTTTTCTTGCGTAATATCGAGCAGAAGTAAGGAGCCAAAACGTGCAGCCTAAAGTGCAGCCTCACAAACTGAACAAGAATTTTTAACGAACAATTAATATGTACTTAAGGAAAGCATATGTCCCTGACAGTGTCAATAAAATTTATTAATGGAAAGATCTGGGTTTTACTCCTTTGTGGCACGTTAAATTAAGACTATATGCTTCACTTTTTTAACCTTTATGTACTAAAAAAATATAATCAGTATATTTTCGAACTAACACTTGAATCAAAGTTGTCTTCTTTTAAATATAGTATTCCCGTAATTTTAAAAATTTCTGTATCTTATTCATATGAAGCACAGTAACCACTGAAAAGAAAAAAGAAAAAAAAACCTTACTCGGTCAAAGACGGGTTTAGGGTTTTGATATTAAAATTGCACCCCTTCTCAATGAAAAAACTGAACGCAGACATTAAAAGTTCATTTAGCCCATGTTCAAGCTTTTTTTTATAAATTGGAAAGTGTTGCTGGAGAAAATATATTTTTCCTTTACCTTTTCGATAAAAAGATAATAGTAATAACAAAATAACTACCAGGTGCCTTAGCAATTTCAAAGGACCCATAGTGTCTTATTTATCTGCTGCATTGAGCTGTGAACAAATGCCGTTCTTTCTAGTGACCCTGCTTTTTTGAGAAACATTGTTGTCCTTCGTGATCCAAAGTTGATTCCTGCCAAATCGGGAGAATCGCAGGAAACGAATCCCATAGAAATAGGTGAAAAAGGATAATAAAAAGTCTAGGCTATTCTAAAAATATCCGATATGCATTTGCAGCTCATATTAAGCTGCAATTAACCT